GGCGGCGGCGGCGGGCGGCGGCGGCGGGCGGCGGCGGCGGCGGCGCCGCGCCGCGAGGAGGACTCGCGCCCCACAGCTCGGCGAGGGCTCCTGGGGCTGGACAACCAGCGGGCGGAGGTGTGGGGGGGGGGGGGGGAAAGGGGGGCCCACGCCCCCGGGGCTGCCCTCGGGTCGGAGACTTCGTTTCCTCCGTGGCGAGTCCGAGCCGGTCCGCAGTCCGCACTGCTGCTACGTGCTCGGCTGGCCGGACCGGCAGCGGTTGGGGCGGGCGCGGTGTGTGCGCCTCTGCTGGCGTGGCAACGTGCCAGCCCGCGGGCCGCGGCTGCAGGCCGCCGCACAGGCTTGCTGGCGCGGGTGTGCGGACGATCCTTCGTGTTTCGTGTGGCTTCAGTGATTTGTCGCGCCTCGCTGGTCTCCTGCGTTCAGTCTCCTGCGCCCAGTCTGACTCGGCAGTCTCCTGCGCTCGGTCGAGCGCGTGTCTCGTCTCGTTCGCGGCTTGTACAGGATACGCCGCACATTCGGCCGTTTGGGCATTGCCTTTGGGGAAAGGGACTTCACGCCTAGAGAGCTTCACGCCGATCACGCGACGAGACCCCGAGAGCCGAGAGTGCTGTGGGAGTGTGAGACTGTGGAGAGTGGAGTCTGGAGAGAGGCTGAGAGCTTAGGGGACCCCTAGGGTTCTGAGGGCCGGATTTTTTTAAGAGCTTTTAAGAAATAAGGAGGTTTGGGGGCTTAAATTGCCATTTAAGAGATTGCAGGCACGGGGGTCCCTCTTTTAAGACCGTTTAAGAAAATCGGCCTCACGGTCACACGCCCTCACCGGCATGCGTCTCGGCTCTGCTGGGTTTTCCGCGCCGTTTTCTCCAATACTGCCGTTATTAGGCACAAATCCGCCTCTGAAGACACATCTGTAAGTCTGGTGCACTGACAGGAGCCATACTCGCATAGGGGACGCGTGCTAGCTGACTGTAGCCAGCTTCCCGGCCTCCGGCGTCTACCGGGAGCCTCCGGGAGCCTCCCGGACCATCGACCTCGGGAGCTCTCCCGCACCGTTTAAGCGTTTAAGACCGTTTAAGGAATCGGCGGCCCAGCAGCTCTTAAAACCGGCCCGGGCCGGTTTTAAGCCATTTAAGCCGCAGGCGCCCCAGGGCCCACCCTTTTAAGCCTAGGGGTCCCCTAAGGCTGAGAGCGAGACCCGGCGCGGGGCTTTTTATGGCGTTGGCGACCAGGACCCCGCATGCGGCATGCCATCCACCGATGCCAACGGCACCGGCCGTCAAACTCGACATTCGGATTCGCTTCGTCCTTCGACGTCACCCCTGGGCCGCTGACCCTTTTAGCCGGGTGTTGGTAACCGTTTCACTTTTCAGTGCCACTGAGCGGCCTGTGTGGTACACCCAGGGTACACGGCATTCCCTTTCCGTTTACGGGTCGATTTTTTAGTATTTAGAAAATTAGATCGCCCCGCTTGTGTATAGATCATAGTCGGTATCGAGAAGAGGACACCTGATGCGCTGCGTTTTGTTGCTACGGTGCCCCGGGGGGCAGCCAGCCCCTGTTCAAAATGGTACATAGACGGAAAGTAGCGGGTCGACTCACCGCCCGCCTGCGTACGGCCGTGGCTGCGGCGCCGGCTTTGGCTGGAGCTGCGCGCTCTTGCCGGCGTCGTAGTTGACGCCGTCGAAGATGGGGTCGCAGAAGCCAAGCCGCGGGTCCTTCCAGCCCTCTGGCAGCGGCTTCTCGTAGTCCTTGTCCCCCGAGCGGCAGTCGCAGAAGAAGCGCACGTCCTTGCCGCAGAGCGCGCACTCGTTGGCGAGCTCCTCCTGCCGCTTCTTCTCCTTGCGCTCCAGCTCGCTCATCTTCGCCTGCCGGGAGGTGGTCCGGGGCAAAGCGGGGTGGGGGGTCGGGGTGGTAGGCGGGGCGGGGTGGGAAGCGCGCCTTGTGTCTGTGCTCCGCCGGCAGCTCCGAGTAGTCCGCGTCCACCATGCCTCGCTCAACATACCTCCGGAAGGATCAGGGGGGGAGAGGTGGTTCAGAAATGAGTCGGGGCGTTCACCATGCCGCGCGATCTCGACGTGTCTGCCGCGAGATAAAGCCGAGATACGCCGCGAAGAGACGTGCCGCGCACTTGTCGGTGAGGTAAGCAGGTCTCGGCTGTGTCTCGGCTGTGTCTCGGCTGTGTCTCGGCTGTGTCTCGGCTGTGTCTCGGCTGTGTCTCGGCTGTGTCTCGGCGTGTAGTGCGCACTGGTCAGTAGTGAGCAGCCGGTGCCAGTGTGTGTCGGCGGCGGTGCCCTTCTTGCCCGCGTCGTAGATCTGGAGGTTGGCCTTGACCAGCGTCATTGTGACGTGCGTGCCGTCCGTCAGCCACGTCGAGGTGCGCGGGTCGATGCGCTCCTGCAGGACGTGTCAGAGGGGCGTGTCGGGGACGTGTTTGGGACGTGTCGTGGGGAGGCTCGAGGGTGCGCGGGTCGATGCGCTCCTCGAGCTCTCCGTGCAAGAAGACCTGACCCGTGGCGCGGCTGGCGACGTGGACTTGGCGAGGCGCAAGCTGCACATCGAGCAGCGCCGCTCGCATCTGGTCGCGCGGCACTGTGTGCGCAATCACCACCACCTCGGTCGTGCCCTGCATCCAGCGCGCGTTCTGCGTCTGCACCCACACCGGCTCGGGAGCCGCGTTGTTGTGAATGCGCTGCATCCCAAAGGACATTGGCGTGAAGTTGTCGCGCTTGTGCAACCTGCCGTCCTCGTGCACGAGCGTGTAGTTGCGGGGCGGCAGCATGATGGTCGTGCTCGAGGAGAGATCGAACTGCTCGGGCGGCCGCTTGTCCTCGTCGTCGCTCGAGTCGGAGACGTAGTTGTCGTCCTCCGAGTCCTCCTCCTCCTCCTCCTCCTCCGCCGCCGCCGCCGCCGCCTCGGCCGCCGCGCCGCTGCCGCCGCCGCCATCCGCGCCGCTGGCAGCCGCGGCCGCACCAACGCCACTCCCCTCGCCATTCTCCTCTAGCAGTAGCTCCTCCTCCTCCTCCTCCTCCTCCCCGCCGCCGTCCCCACCCCCGCCTCCCCTACCCCCATCCCCACCGCCGCCGCCGCCGCCTGTGCCCGCCGCGGTGTTCTCCTCGAGGACCAGCTCTCCGTCGCCACCTCCTCCGCCGCCGCCTCCGCCGGCTCCCCCCTCGCCGCCTCCGCCCTCGCCGCCCTCGCCGCCTCCGCCCTCGCCGCCTCCGCCCTCGCCGCCTCCGCCGCCAGTGTGGGTGAGCAGCTGTACGCCGGGCGGCGGCGTCCAGCTCGCCTCGTACTCCTTCTCCCACTCCTTGGACAGCTCCTCACTCCACTCGGTCGTCTCGCGGATGCGCCCCTCCGCCTTGGCCTTGACCTTGGCGTCGTACTCTGCCACCGTCTTTGCGTCGTACGCCTGTCTCCGCGTCGTCGCCTTGCGAGCCTTGTCCAGCTCGACCACGAGCGCCTCGGCGGCCGCAGCGTCGCGCTCGGCCGCCGCGAGCGCGCGCCGGCTCTCCTCGGACGTCGGCTCCAGCTCGGTCGCGCGGCGGAACGCCGCCACCGCCTCGGCTGGTCGCTCAAGCCCGCGGAGCGCTGAGCCGAGCCGGTACCAGCCCTTTGGCCAGCTTGGCGCGAGGGTGGTCGCGGCCTCCGCATCGGCACGCGCGAGCTCGTGCCGGCCCACCTTGAGGTACGCCTGCGCGCGATTCCCCAGCAGCGTGTGCGACGACGGCGTCGCCTCGAGCGCCGCCGTGTAGTGCTCGTACGCCGTGCGGTAGTTTTTCGCGCGAAAGGCGGCGTCGCCGCGGGCCTTGCGGGTGGCGGCGCGCTCCTCCGGCGACTGCAGCCGCTCGTCGTACGGCCGACGAGCCTCCACTTGCTCCGGCGAGTGAGGGTCGTACCCGGCCGGCCCGACGTCGACGGCCTGGTGCTGCTGCGGCTGGCAGCGGCAACGGGAGCAGGCCAGCGCGCGGGTGTCGAGCGATCCGCCGGGAGCAGCTACGGGCACGTACTCGAGGCACGAGGGAGCGGCGCGGCACCAGCCGCGGAAGAGGCCGAACGCGTCGCGCATGCGGCGGGGGAGCGACGCAAGTAGCACCGAGGGCCAGGCGACGGACCTCGGGCCACCAGCGAACTGGCGAAAGAATTTTACAAACGAAACGGCGCGCACTGGCACTAACACACGTACACCACGGGAGCCGCCTAAGCGACTCCTGCGAGGGCGGCGAGGCACTTAGCTCCGTGCCCTCGACCGCCCTCGCCCAGGCAAGCTCATTCACAATCTGCTCTGCGATTGCCGTGTGAAGAACGACTGAGATACGCTGCTTCTGCAGCCCCAGCCAGCTCTTGGTGGCGAAAGAATTTTAACGTCGAAAGAATTTTCGAAAAAAATATGTGAAGATCCTACTATAGCATTCTCCCCAAACCTTGCTCAGCTGATCCAGCCTGGCCCTGGGGGGAAGGCCAGCCCTGGGCAAAGAAACCAGTACCTCAACAGGCTTCCCTGAGCGTCACAGCTCGATGATCGCGCCGGCCGGACACCACTGAGACGTCCGTTCCGGGCATTTGAACGCGACCTTCGGGGGCAAAGACATGGGCTCTATGGCTCAGACTGGACTCCTCTTGGTCCCTTCTGATGCCCTAGGCCACACCTGGGCCTTACCTGGGGCTCTAGGGGGTGGGCAGGGTTTGCCCCCCGAAACTGGCCCGGAGGACCTTAACAAGACGGTCAAACTCTGCGGGCGGCGCGCGGCGGGCTGGGCTTCTGCCCAAACTCAGACCGGCCTCCCGTGCAAGTTCAGCGCCAGCTGCCGCTACGCGCCGTGCACCAACTTCGAGGAGCTACTCGAGACCGCCCTCAAGGGCTCCGTCTACGAGCGGATGCCGAGGGCGGTGAGGCTCGGCACGAGCCGCGGGCGGCGCGGCGGCGGCCGCAACCGCGGCGTCCCAGGCGGCGGCGGCGGCAAGGGCAAGAAGGACTGGGCGCGCGCCGCTCGCGGAGCCGCCCGCTCCCCCTACGACGGCGGCCCACGCCTCGAGTCCAACGAGCCCTCGCTCTACGGGGAGAGCGACGACGAGTCCTAGAAGCGGCCGCCGAGCCCTTCCCGCGGCGCAACCCTAGCAGCGCAGCGGGCAGGGCGGCTCGCGCAGCGCCCGCGCGATCGCACACACACACACACACACACACACACACACACACACACACACACACACACACACACACACACACACACACACACACACACACACACACACACACGCACGCACGCACGCACTCACATGCACAGACACACAGCCCCTTCCCCTTCCCCCTCAAGACCGCAAGGGTGAGGACACGCGTCGGCCGCACCTCTAGCGAAGCCCCACAGCGTGGGAGACTCCTATCACCGGCCCTGCCACGCTGCCCCACCCACGGCGTGAGCCTTGGCTGCCTCTGTCAGTGTGCCCGTGATAGTGAGAGACTGCCAGCGAGAAGCCGGAGGAAGGTCGCTAGTCGAAGAGATCGCCCGTGGAATAGGGAGTCCACCGTGCTGCGAACCTGT